TAACCCTAACGACAAGAGAGTCTCTCTCTCTCTCTCTCTCTCTCTCTCTCTCTCTCTCAAAAAAGAAGAAAAAGCAAGTAATATCAAATTTCAAAATAAAGCAGCGTTATCTGTAATTTTCATAAACCGTATTATCTAAACTTTCATGAAAAAAACCTTCCATGAAAAGTCCAGTTGTATTGTCTTTTACCAGTTCAAGAAATCTTAGAGGTTTCTCATGGGTACACCACAAAAACACATGCACACAAGTAAACATGATCTATGTTAAATATATATTTATGCTTACACACATGAGAGAAACAACTAAACAGTGAAGACCGTAGAGTTTAGTTCTTTACCGAGCTGGTGTCTTGCCAGAAGATGCTTTGCTCTGTTTTGGTGCAACAGTTCTCTGGACTGTGGAAACCCCATCTACAAATTTTGTCCGGAAGATGACATTGGCATTGTTGAACATGCCTTCCTTTAGAGAAACCACAATAAACTGCATCCACCATAGATTAGAATCCAAATGCTGTGTTTAAAAGGAACCAGCAAACATCCTTCATCTACGTGCATGCATCTAAATACATATAATTGCAGCCCATTATGCTTTATTTACCTCATTACTCCTTGCAAGTCAAAAAAGAGTATGTATTCAGAAAATGTTTAGATATCCAGAACTTTTTACAAATAGAAGTTTCGAGCATTTATTTATGGTTAAATTGTATTATTATCACAAGCAAACAATAATAGGTAACCATGTCCAGAATTGGTTTCCAATGAAGGGAAAAGGCATTGTGTACCTAAAACATTTTCAAAGAAGATTGAAGGGAAAGATTTAAAAATACATAATATACCAACCTGGGAGTGTGGGAAGTGGGTTTTAATCATTCTCCCGATATTCTGCGTATGGCTTAAATCAAGAGCCGCATCAACCTGTAAGAAGGGAAGAAAGTACAAAATGTGACAAGGTATGTGATGCAATTGTAGGCATCGAATAGCACCACATGTTTGCCAACATAAAGCCACATAAATGACAGCCATGTTAAAAATGAGATGCAGAAACAAACTTGTGATTAGACATGTTTTTTTTTTTTTGGGTAATTCAATGGGGAAGACTAGCCCCTACCCGTTTTTTCAATAGATTAGGGAGTTACAGTTTGAAGGTGTTAATTGGGGGTGTCAGCGGTAGGAATGGATACCACGATGCGATAACTGGGTGTGGGGATACTACCACCACGACCCCAGCCCCTTGCCTCTTAATTGTATATGCTTGATTACATTATGTATTTCGACTGAGATAGATATTCTGATATTCAGAAGCCATGCATGAAAGAATATTGTGAAAACGGTATCTGTTATTGCACAAGGAGTATTCAGTCAAAAGCAGCACTTTTGGCCACAAATACTAACGGAAAAAAGACATGTATCCAAGTATTGTCAACAGCACGAAAATAGCTGAAAATGGAAAGATTCATGATATCTATCTTTCCATCTATAAATATATATATATATATATATATATATATATATATATATAGGTAAGTTATA